AGCCATTCACACATACAGTGAAAATTTGCACCGAGTGTCCGAGCTTGAAATTTACATGTGATATGAAGTTTTTTAGGTTATAAAAAGGGACCAATGAAAGCCATGTTATGATTCTGTTTGGATGGTACAGATCGCAAACAGTTGCATTATTGGACATGACTGTGTCTGCAGCAATTTCAGATGTGACATCATCTGTCAAGCTTGTCAGAAAATTAGCAAAAAAGCCCCCACTGTTTACCTGAATAGCGTAAACTGGGCTGGGAACAAGGCTCTTACATTGAGTAAAAAAGAAGGGTACCCCATGGCCGGCCACCAGCTGAAGGGAGACAGGGTATTCATATTCACATTACAGGATGGTCCAAATAGGTCAAAGAACTATAGGAGGCCAGGAAAAAATTTCAAATTTCGTTTTTTAAATTAAATTAAGTCTCCATGAGTTCTCCGTAGCTCAAGTGGATAGAGCGCCCACCCAATGTTTGGGAGGTCATAGGTTCAAATCCTTTCAGGGACTCAGATTTTTTCTGTGTCCCATGCTCGTGACATGCTGGTCATTTCATTTTCACATAAAGTAGTAAATTATGTACATAATGCAGGATGTCATACACAAATTCAAAAATTAAACCTCAAAGACTCCATCATTCACTCTGTGAAAGTGAGGGTTAATGCTTATGTGCATAATTGCATAAGTGCAACATTGAAATGTTATTAATAGGCCATTAATTTCTGAGTTACCCCAAGCCTCTGTTTCAAAGTGAGGCTAAGTGCTAAGAAAATGATTTTTTATTCTTGTGCAAATGAAACTCATTACACAAGATCAGTTTTGTACTTAGCCTCATTTTGAAAGTGAGCATTTTTGGAACTTACAAATGACCTTTTTCTAATGTCCCCATGATTTAACAGGTGGCTAAGGTGTGTACCTGATGTGTGGTCTCTCAGTGAATGGTCTAATTGGAAAACACCAGCCAGTCTACCTAGGCAATATGATACCATGTTTTACACCTGCTTCGTTGACAAAGAACCTGCTGTTCATGTTGATAAGCAAGAGATAATGCATTCAATGGTAATTATACATGTATTGCTTCTTAAGTCCTGTTTTAGTGGCATTGATTGGTTTAGAGGCAAATCCAGTGTTTTTTTCATCGTGAGGGGGTCTATTAAATCTTGATCTTCATATTAGTATTGAAATTTTTTACACTTACAACCCAGGTCAAAACTGTTGAGACACTAACACAGTAGCTCAACAATATGACACATTATAAAAAAATTACAACTTTTAGTAAAATCCAACTAGTGGTCTAGATATTATCAATGGTCCATTCTGATTGGTTGAGCTAGTACTAGGCTATATGTTACAGACTACTAGTAAGGAAAAGCGAACTTTTTGGTGGCAAAAAAGGATTTAAGTCTAGCTTTAACTAGCTAAAATTTTTTTATTCTCGATATTTTTGACCAACTTAGTTGGATTTTACTAAAACAATACTCCTCTCACCCTCATGGGCTATTGTCTCAGAGCCCATTCGGGCTCGAGGAATAATTGTTAAATAACCAAATTTATCAGTCATTCCCTGAATTAAAGGGCTTTAATTGAGGTAATTTACCTACTTATGCACCTACTATTGGCATGACAAGGACTGCTGATGATGATGAATGATGGTAGTTTACCAAATAGAAAACTCCTACCACCAAAAGAGAAGTAACTCTTATTATGCTAGTTTCATTTCAGTGGATGACACCAGCATCAGCAGTCTCAAAGTGCATCCAGGGACAAATCAGTCTTGGAGTACCTCAAATTTATGAGATGTCAAGATTCTGCCGGTGAGCCTGGATCAAGTTATTAACCCTTTAAGTCCCAGTAGTGATGTCCAACATCAATTTTCTCCTAACAATATCTAAACATTGTCAAGAGAAATGGTCATGAGAATTAATGAAATGATCACCTCTGAGAAAAATGCTTTGATCTTCAATCAAAATCTCTCAACTAATCCTTAAGGAAAGGTAAGGAACTCATGCACTCTGGAGAATTTGAATGTAGATATTGGAGCTAAAAGGGTTAATGCACATTTTTTAACTATTCTTGGCATTCGTTTCCTTATTAAAACATTTGCATCTAATTCATGTGGACATCAAGTTATCATGTTATATGTTTGGTAGTTCTGTTTGAAAGCAATTTTTTTAGCCCCTTCAAAAGCAGCATCAACATGAAAGTCAGGCAATTTTAATTGCTTAAGAGATAAGAGTGGGTGAGGAATGGTGGCTTTCTCAGTTTGTTCAAGAAGTGCTAAACTGCTTCTTTTCAATTGAACAACTCTATTTTTCCAGTTTTGAAGTAAGGAGGGGGCAGCTGTACACAGGCTAGAAATTACCGTAAATATTCCAATTAGTGCCCAGCTTCCCCCACTTTGAGTTAACACCCCACTGACCTTAGGCTAAAAACATTAGGTAAGTTTTTAGAGGATAGCAATACGGAAAGTAAAGTGGATTGGTTGGATTACCAGAATTCATTTGACTACAGGACCATGAAAGCTAGGTGAATGTACCACACACAAATTTAGGTTTCTGTTAAAAGATGCATTCCACTTTTCTTGTTTTAAATGTTCTATTTTTCGTCTTGAATTGAAGGCAATGTCATAATAATTATTGAGTTGAAAAGTCAAAAAATGAAATCAGCACCCTGTTGAAAATAACACCCCTTTTAGTTTAACCCTGGGGCTAATTCAAGCATTTACAAGACCCATTGTTACTGATAAGGGTTGTATATTTCTGTATAGATTTCCAAAATGGTCAGAATTTCAGTCATTTCAAGATAGACGTGCAACTCTTGGATGTGAACAATGGCTCACTATTCTCTTACAGTGTACAGATGGCATACTGGTAAAACAAATCTATAATTATGTTTGTTGGAAATAGTTATGTTAATTACCGTATTTGCTCGAATAAGCGCCGCCCCTGATAAAGCTCAACCCTCAAATAAACACCACATTTGGGAGAAAAATGTTAAAATAAGCACTGTCCCCAAATAAGTGCCATGGCCCTGAAATAATCAAAATCAGAAGACCTTAATTGTGTTAGTTTATAATACAGAAGATAGTAACACTGTAGTTAATACAATCCTTTTGTCACGTTCAACATTCAAATAAATGCCGCCCTCAAATAAGCGCCGCCCTCGAAGGAGTGCCGCAATTGCTAAGGTGTGAAAAGTTAAATAAACGCCGCGGCGCTTATTCGAGTAAATACGTTATTGTCAATTTGGATGGGCTAAAGCAGACTTTCAGTAACCTTGCCTGTTCTTTGTTTTTATTTTAACCATCACATGTTTACAAATAATTCCCTGTTGGAGCCTCGTACAGTGGAAGATCATGGGTGCAGCTTTAAGATTGTCAGCTGTGAAATTTCAGGAGATTGTTTCATCCCACAGCCAGCTAAAGGCAACTGAATTGTGGAAAGAGTGAAAGTGTAGTGGTAGTGTCTTGCTTGGTGAACAAAAAACGGATCACCTCCCATGACACAAACGTTCTGGCGCACATCATAGAATCTGTTCCATCATGAATTTTGAATGATTTATTTACTTTTAAGGAGACCAGAGAGTATTTTTACGGTTACAACTTTCTTCCGTTTACATAGTAACTTCCTAACAAACTAAAACTAAAGCACATTAGTAAAATCCAACTAGTGGTCTATTATCAATGCTGCGTTCTGATTGGTTGGGCTATTTGTTATAGCCCCCTAGTAGCCAAAAGCGCCGGCTTTTTGGCGGCAAAAAAGGATTAAAGTCTAGCTTTAACTAGCTAAAATTTTTTTATTCTCGATATTTTTGACCTACTAGTTGGATTTTACTAAAACAATTATTCCTCGAGCCGGAATGGACTCTGAGTCAATAGCCCATTCGGCCTTCGGCCTCATGGGCTATTGACTCAGGGGCCATGAGGGCGAGATTTAATTTTATTATTGTTGTTTGTGGTTTTTAGGAGTTGTTTCCTCATGATGACCTTTACGCATCACAGTATAGGAGAGTTTTAGACGAACTGTCCAAGAGCAGTACTGGACAAACTACAATGGGTGATTACCCCGAAACAATAGCAGATTGTAACTCCAAAGGAAGAAATTTCAATCGAATGGTTCACCCTTTTTCCAGGAGTCTAAACAACTTATTATGTAATGTCTCACTTCCTCATGGACAGTGCGTGCCATTAACGAACCATTCTAAAATTCATGAACTCGCCAAAGAATTGCGATCGCTTCTTTAAACACTGAATAGAAGAAAAGGTAAAAGAGTCCAGCTTTAGCAAAGACGTGGAGTCAAGCGGAAGTGGACTTTTTGCATTCTTGGGCAGTGGTTTTGCCCAATTTTCGGGCAAATTGTCGCTGTAAAAGAGTAAAGAAATTTAGCAGTACAAATTTGTTAGCGTCAACTAGGCGTATTAGAAGGGAAAATGCCCCATTTCCGGTTAGGACTTGCGTCTTCCAGAAACCCCTTTGCTCAAGCTCCCTTATACCTGTTACAGTCGTTTTACCCAGAAGACAATTCGCTGTGAATAAAAGTTGATTCGCCCCCTTCTTCTTGTTCGTCATACTACAAAAATAATTGAGACTGTATAATGCAATTTCACAGAGTTTGATTGGCTTGGCCACCATGGGCCATGAAGCCAGTGAAGCTCTTCATAGTGCTTTAACAATATCCTGAGATCAGGTACAATTTGAGAAGCTCCTATTCCTTTCCTCATACGTGGTCGCGCTAAAAGCGGGCCTGAAACAACTTCTCACAAGCCTGTGCTGTTGCGGCCAAAATATCGCCGCAGCAACTGCTGATTGGCCGTTATAACAATCCAACATAAGGATTTTGTATTCTATTTCGCTAACTTTGCGGCTTTGTTATGGCAAAATACGCTGTAGTTTATTATGCGCCATGGAAATTCAGAAAATCCAAGTGACGATTGTCCATGTCTTCTCAATTTTTAATTAATATACAGAAGTGATGTGAGCGCAGTTCGGAGTTGATTAATCCCTCTGAATTTTTTTTTTATAAACAACATTTTCTACAACATTTCCTCTAAGAGCCTAAGAGGCTCATCCAGAGAGCTTACGCTGTTTACATTGCCGAATACACGGCTCGATCGAACACACAAAAAAAGCGAAAAGAAAAACACAAACACACACACAGCAACAAAGAGAAGCGATTTGATAGCGAAACAAACGACTGGACAAGCTGAAAAAACCTAACGTTAATTTGAAAATCATCAGTAGAAATACCATTTAAAAGCCAAAGGTTGTTGAACCAACGAGTGCAATTCGCAATACTGTCCCTGTTAAAACGGATTTCAAAGGAAAGTTTAGCCGACAATGGTCTGTTTTTCTAATAACGGGATACGCAAGTTAAGACTCGCTGACTATAATAGATCTGTCTTTAACGACAACACCAACTGTCTAAGTGGACCTACACAGACTGCACTGACTTACCAACAAGACAGACTACACCAGCTACGTGGACTTGACAGTTTTGTCTGTTTTAAACGAAACGAAGAGGTTTAACGAGATTTTAGAGTCTTCAAAGGGCACGCAGTCTATTCCAGAACAACAGTTGAACCGCTATTAGATGTCATCCTCGGGATATCTCGGGGTACTGACAGGAGCAGCATTACCGGTCCACAATCGGTCGACACATTCTATGGCGGACTGTGTTCTCCTTCATCACATTCTTAAAGTGAAGTCAAACTAAAAGTATCAAGCGCTTGATGGCTGCTTAATAGAAGTGACAACAATATAACTCTCATTGGGACGACCAAAAGGTGGCTGCTTAATAGAGGTTTGATTTACCATTCTTTTCTACAATTATTTTGGGACTTTGATTACTGCTCGCTGGCCGCTTAATTGAGGTTCAACTGTAGTCTTATATCTTACTTATGTTCAGTTTAGTGGTCAGCAAAATTTTCGCCACGTCGGCTAAGAGCATTAATCACGGTAACTGACGCAGTTGTTTTAGCGCTTTTTTTGTGTGTAAAGAAAAAGGTTAAATTAAGCTTCATCTAAGAACTACATGGCCAAATGGCAAGATGTAGAACCAGTAGCGTTTTCGACTTTTCGGATCTGTACGACGGCTTTTCCTGGACCAAATACATCTTTTCCCCGTGTGACGAATCGCACTGAATCATCTATAGGAAAGTGCATTACCTTTGGTTTTCTGACCCTCAAAATTTTGAGCGCGGCAATCCTAAAATGGCGGTCTCTACAGCAGTAAATTAGTGGATTAGCTACAGAATTTAGGTACAGTAGTGCCTCAGCTACTCGAACTGCTACAAATTCACGAAAGACGGGAAAAAATCCTCCCAAGACAGAGACAACAGTAATCGGGAGGAAGGAAAGAATCGCCGTGGCCGTAACCAATGCGGTCGTCATGGCAACTTTTTTTTCTAGCGTGGCATTCACCAACACGCTGCGGACTTGGTGAATTTGACTTAATTTACGTTTGCAAACTCCAAGGTACATCATGACATAAAAATATACAATGAGCGCTAGCATAAAAACGAGGACACTAGATATAACGATAGTTAATATCTCTACAGCTAAAACCTGCCGATCGCCACGAACCACTTCGTGTATGATGAAGTCTGGAAATGCACCTGCTATGGCTGATATCCAAGCTGTTATCGCCAGCATTTTCACGCGGCGTTTAGTGAATATCACTTTGTAGTCAATCCATTTTCTAATGGCAATGTACCTTTCCCATGCGATCATTGTCAAATGCAAAAGCGAACACATGAACAGAATAGAAGTCAAAGAGAAAGTTACCAAGTCAATCAGGCAAAAATGCCGCTCAGCCAGTATTTGATGGGGAAGTAACAGGCCAGCTATGGCTGATAGTGGTATACAGAAACCTCCTCCTACAAGGTGCGCCACGGCCATACTTGATAGCAAGGTATTGGTATGTCTCATTAGTTCTCTCCGCCTCCTTGCTGTCAGAATTACTAGTACATTCAAAAGAATGGCTGCTGGAGAGAAAATGGATGCGAAAACAGCAAAAGTCCATGGAAAAGTAGTGTCATGTACGTCCCACATAAATCCTGGTGCATGTGAACAATCAAACACTGGACTGGTCGTGTTCGACAAGGAGGACGCTGTTTCCTCCTCGTTCTGGTCCATGGTAATAACACGCTTTGTTTTACCTTCTAAACTGACACCGTTGAACGTCTAGTGAAGAACTGTACGAAGCGCGCGTAGCTCACTCAACCTTCCGTTAAGTTTAAACTGGAAGTCTTGAAAGAAAATTGCGTTGGGATTACAGCAAGTGTTAATATACATGTAAAAAAGCAGAGTTTAATAGGCCATTTCTGAGTTACAAAAACTCTCACTTTTAAAACGAAGCTAAGTACAAAACCTTTCTTGTGAAAATTAGTTTTATGTGCATGAAAATAAAAACTCATTTTCATGTCAATGGCTTCGCACTTAGCCTCGCTTTGAAACAGAGGCTTGGAACAACTCGGAAATGGCCTATATAATAAAATTTGT